CTTTATTTAGTGGTCTAACCAACCTTCAGGAACTTCAGGTTCCTACGACTAGGGGGAAAGTCTAGGACAAAGAAGGTTCACTATGGATGGAAAAGGATCAGGTTAAGGAACATTCAAATAGACCAGCCATCTTCAAGTCCCTATAGGATACATCCAGAGAAACTGTTTTAACTTGCTTAATGTCACTAGAGGCCACTCTCAATTAACTTCAAAAGGTCATGGCAAGTGGAGAAGGTCCCTGAGGACTGAAAGAAAGCAAGTATAACTCTTGTCTTCAAGAAGTGCAGGAAAAAGGATCTGGGGAATTAAAAACTGCTCAACCACACCTCTGTTCCTGGGGGAAGTGGTGGGGCAAATCAGCCTGCAAATTATTTCCAAATGTGTCAGGGATAAGGAAATGGTTGGGCGTGGTCAGTATGGATTTATGATGAGGGGAAACTCAGTTCATAAAGTTCGGCAAATCAAGTTCTGCACCTGGGCAGGAATAGCTTCAGGCACCACGACAGGCTGAGCACCAACTGGCTGAAGACTAGTTTGGCAGAAAAAGATGCGGTGTCTTGGTGGTCATCAAGTAGGTCTTAAGCCAGCAAGGTGTCCTTGCCAATGGCAAGGCCAATGGCCCCGTGGGCTGTGTGAGGAGAAGTGCTGCCAGAAGATTGAGGGGGATGGTCGTTTCCTGCTCCTCAGCCCTAGTAACACATACCTGGGTCCATCCAGTGTCTAGCTCTGAGCTTCCAGTCCAAAAGAGATGAGGACATACTGGAGAGAGTGCTGCAAAGGGCCACAAAGATGATGAAACAATTAGAACATGTGTAATTCTAGGAGAGGCTGAGACTATTCTGCCTGGACAAGAGAAGGCTTGGGGGCTATAACTTATGCATAAATACCTCATAGGAGGTTGCAAATCGAAGCAGAACTTTTCCCAGTAGTAATGTGCCATGAAAGGACAAGAGGCAATGGACAAAATCTGATATTCAGGAAGTCTGACTTAAACATAAGAAAAAGCATCTTTAGTGATTAAACACTAGAAGAGATTACCCAGAGGGATTCTGGAGTCTTCATCCTTGTCCATACTCCAGTGCTACGAAAACTGCTTGCTCTACATAATCCTGCTCTGAGCAGAGGGATGAATCAGACAATTTCCAGAGCTCTCTGCCAGTATCAACTATACCTTGATTCTGGGAAGGTTTAGCCAGCACACAGCACCCTTGTAAAACCTGGACAAGTGGTAAAACTCTCCACAGTACAGCAGGACAATGCAGCCCTCACTACGTCAGTGTTCCCTTCCTAGACAAACCAGAAACCTATGGCATTACCTGGCTGGCTGGCTACAGAATCACGTGTGCCATCACTTACAGTGGCTCAGCACCCAGATCCTGAACGTGCCACTCCAGAATGCAGTGAAATTAGAAATGCATACAAAAGGAAGACTGCTGGTAAAAGATTATAGCTGGCTTTGCTTCACAAGTTCCACCACTGGCAAAAGGGAGTAGGCCTGGCTCGTAACCCTGGTGCCTACATACATAAAGGCCTGTCCACAATTAAGATAAATCTTTACTGAACATAGTGGAATGCTGCTCACATTGCCAGCTCTCTCTCCCCATGCTTTCCTCTAATTCCCTCAAAGAGACTTACTTTGGCTTGAAACTTTCCTTGTTGCGCTCTGGCCAGAAGGAAAGTGTTTTGAAAACCAGCAAAATCTGCTGGTTTTTAGTTCTCCACTTTGGTGTAAATTACTACCAAACAAAAATAGTTCAACAAATTAGCTGACTGTGAAGCATTTTTTGAGCAAATATAGGGAGAGTTTGCCTGATTGATTTTAAGAAAGGCATAAACTGTACTGAATCTAATGATAAAATTGATTATGGCCCAAATTAACACACATAATTCAATGTAAGAAGTTAACATCTATAGCCATGCAGCTATATCAAGACCTGAAAAGGGAGGAGACTTCTTCTGCACAATGTATTACACATATATAAATCCCATCAATCCAGTTAGAATATAAAATAAGTCAGAATTTTCTGTTTTTTCTCCCTTTAAAATAAAAATACCAAGAGTAGTTTAAACAAGAGAAGGTATATGTAATACCACAGTCACCCACAGTCACCCACAAACCATGATCTTGCTTGCATATAATTGATGATAAAAGTTGTTTTTTAAATGGTGTTTTTTGTTAATTGAAAGACTGGGCTTTCCTTACAAAAAGCCCAGCTGTTTAAAAATAAATAGAGGGTGAAAACAATCTGTAAGGAAACAACTGAAAGTCTTTCTCCCCTTCTAACTGGGTGACCCTTAAATATCCTACTACCATTTTAATACAACCTTGTCCTGCAGTTTATAAGCATCTCCTAGGAGATACTTTCTTCACTGGTGGTCAGAAGGGGGCAAACCACCATGCCGTCATGATTTATTTCCATTCCTACAACCTTTTTTTTTTTTTCCTTCTCTTTTCCTACTACTCATTCTAACCTGCCTTGTATGAGCACTTTTCTGGAACCTTTTCACAGTAATTAACAGCAGTACAACTCCAAGCAATGCTTAAAACTGATCACGAGCTATTTGTTCATCTTCACTGCTTGCTGGCATAAAAATTACTTTTCTACATAATTATCTACCACATACAGCAATCTGCATAAGCAAATGGCTGAATTAGCTTCCTGGAAAACAATGAAAGACTGCATTCATAATTGCAATATGCACTCAGGAAACCTCTGAAATCTGTAAAAATTGATCTGTTTTCTGCAATATATCCTGTGATGCTACTTCTCGCTTAGATGCTTAATAAGAAACAAATGAAACCAACAAAGCAAACAAACAAACAAACAAACAAACAAAAAACCACATGCAGTCAAACAAGGATGCAATCAAGAATTGTGCTGCTAAATGTGGGAGGGTGTCACTATCCTTTGAACAGAACTATTTGGAAAAGCAGACGAGAACAGAGTACAGACTGGTATCAAAGCCAGAGAGTAATTAGACACAATTTCAAAATTAGTCCAAAGTCCCCAGAGAAGACAGGGAATCTGTCTGGGTTCAAAAGTATGATGGAAAAGCATGAGAAGGCCCCACCGTGTGCTTGGACATCAAGCCATGTACACATAAGCCAAAGATCAAGGGTGTTCATTTAGGCACAAGGCTCCTGGGAGTGCTGCAGTATAGAAATGTTGGCAATCAGGACACAGAAAAGGGGGAACTGGAAAAATAAAAGGAAAAAGAAAAGCAAGATTCTAGTAAGCCCGGGAAAGGATTTTAGTACTATCATGAAAGCTGAGAACAAGAAAGCCGAGAAATTAAGAAGGACAGGAATCTGTCCTGGTCCTGCAGTCCTTCTGGGTTCTGGAGCAGTGTTGTGCACACCCCTGACAATGAAGACCCTCTGGGGCAGAAGGGCAGGAACAGAAAGAAATTGATGGGAGGGGAAACAAATGACACAAAACCATCTAAAGACATGTGATTTGCAGCTGCTGGGATTCCGAGTCTGTGCAAGGAGGGGAAGAAGCTCTCTCCTCTCAAAAGCTCTTGCTCTCGGAACATGTCAGAGAAGCACATATGTCTGCCTACGTGGGCTGCTCACCACTCAAGCTGTCAGGCAGCAACCAAAGCCCAAATATCTGCAACTGGCCTCCTGACAGAAGAGTAGCTACTTGCAGCAGATGCAACTTGGCCTTGGGGCTGGTGCATGCTTTTGTCAGAAACAGATTCAAATGTGGTTAGAACTTCAGCAGTGGAGTGCAGCAACGCCCTGGTCTGAACCTACAGAAAGACATAACGAATCTACACAACCAGGGCCTGCTTCACTGTTTTTTGTGACAGCAAGTTGCACGGAGCAGTGATACTGTAGGAAGATTGCAGGTTACAATCTTCACACACATCTGAACAAACATGGGCAGCCATCTTTCCTGACATTCTGGCTCTCACACATTTGGCCCTTGTCAAGCTAAATTTGTAACCACAACTCCCTGTTGCAAGTACAGAAATTCTCACAGACTCTGAATACAAATGCTTTTAGTGTTCAAGTAATATTTTCCTTGCCTTGTCTAGAGCCTTCATCCTCACTAAAGCAATATGCACTGAGATTAGAAAACCACACATGGATGCTGACACCAGTCTCAGTTTTCCCCCTTTCCCAAAGGCCATATGGCTCCTGGTGGAGGGGATGTGATACTTCTCTGGGAATTAGCACCTATCTTTTTTAACACTGATCCTAATTTCTTCCTTTCCCTGGAGCTAGAATAAAGGATGGGAGTCACGGCAAAACAATTATGTTCATATCCTCCACTGGTCTGAAGTGTAGATGCTAACCTTACTGAGTTGGATGTGCTGCTGGATGTGCCTGTAGAGTCCTGCTGACTGCTAAGAGGCAGAAAATGGAGTACGTTTTCCCCAGGTGGACCTACTGTGCTGCTCCAAAATAGGAGCAGACACAACTTCCTTGTGGAAGTGCAGTGAAAGAGTCAAGGAAGGTGTAGGAGGGAGAGAAAGGTGAAATCGTGCCTTGCTTATTCCTTTGCATTTATCGAGTCCCTTAGATTCACATAATTTGGCATATTCTTCTTTTGAACATGTCCTTGAAAGGTTAATTCAAGCACTGGTGCAGCCTCAGATGTGCTGCCTTTCATCTCAGCTCCCTATTGCTCCTATCCTCTTGCACTGGTTGCCCAGACAATAAACACATGTATGTGTCAATGACCTGTTCCTCCTGTGCGTGCACTGTAGTTGACTCAGTATCTTTGCCTCTGCATACAACAAATATGTCTGCAATTAACAGATATTGCAGTAAGCACATGCACTGTGAGCTCTTTGCACACTGCAGGAAAACAGTCTCCTGCACTGAAAAGGTTTTCCTACTAGGGTACCACTATCAGGGGAAAGCTGAGTTCTGTGTCCATCACAGTAAAAACACTGACCCCTCTTTAAACTGAGGCAAGAATTTGCAAAATGCTTCTAAATGACATGGAAAGGATGAGTTCAGGTTGAATGGCACCACAGTCACCTACCAGCTCCAAATGCAAAGAAGAAACTCTTGTCTGGGTGCTCTTCCAGCAGGTCCTTCACCCTCCTGCCCATTCGCTCATTTCGTTTGTAGATGAGCTCCTGACGGAAGTAGCTGTCTATTTCTTGGGCAGTAATGCGTTCATGGGCTGGAAGTGTAGCATTAATGAAATTTGGGACCTAAGGTACAAAAAAAAAAATCTTCATGAAAGGGGAATTTATGTCACAGGCAACCATTATGCACAGGCATTTTTGCTCCACACAGAGTGTAGCAACTGCCCCATCCCTCAAGGCACAGCCAGTAGGACAAAACCCAAAGCAAGCTAAAAAATACTTAGTAAACTTCTAATGATGCATGGTGCCTCATTTCTCAATGCATCATTTCATAAGCTAGCCAGATGGATTTTTTTTTTATTCAAAGTCAACAAATATTATCATTTTGCCACGTTGAAGACCCTAAATCCTGATTGATCAGTTGAAGAAAGTAAGTATTTGCCTCTAACTGTCTTTAGCTACATACCTCTTTCTTAAATTGCTACAGGTATGCCATAACTATAATGAAAATTATGCTCTTCTAAGAGAATTTGCCTTGTATCAGAGCCATCAGGCGGCCAAAGAATAACTGTGCAATTTGAAGTAGTTAAAAAAAAACTTTAAGAGGGCCAGATTTTGTCAAGAAAGAACGTGTTGCCACCTCCAGTTGCCCTGTCCTGATGGTATCTTTTAAAATGCTGGCTTCCTCCCCTGAGGCCCCCAAGGACAGCTGTGGCTGCACACTACCCTGACCTCTTGCCAGTGGAGAGAAAACATGGGTCTGCTATTGTTGCAGCAATCCTGGCTTCTTGACAAGTAGCTTTAGGCATTCAGCTATGGGGATGGTTAACTAAAGGGCCTGCAAGCAGTGATTTCTGGAGAGCAGACCCACTAATAAGCCAGGTGCTTTCCCTTTCAGCAGACACAGAGACTTTGGATTCCCGCAGAGACTATTACAGAATCTTTCCAAAGGGTAGTTAGCCTGGAAGTAGTCATCTGCTGGGAAAGCATGGAGTCAGATACAACTTACTGAGAAGTTCTGCTTAAAACATAAACTGACAGTGTGGCAAGCTATCAATATTCAGCTCTGCTGCCAAGAACAGTGCCCTGAGGTGGAGCCCCTCACATTAAGTACAGTTTTTCCCCTGGCAACAGGCTGGTCTCATACAGCTGCTCTCTCCAAGGACCTAGGGGCAATGTCTGCAGTCTGTAACATCTCCACAGGATAGTGATGCAGTATCTGCATCCTCTTAAAATGCTGGTCTCCTCTGAAAAATGCTTTGAAACCTATGCATGGAGTGCATGGTGTAAAAGCTAGGCAGATTGATGATCAGGATGCCTGCACCTGCAGGAGGGTGGGTGTGCAGGATGGAAGGCAGCAGCACACACACAAAGCTCAGCACCAGAGAAGCAGGAGTTAGTATGACTCTGCAGCTCTGCACTGAATGTCATAGCAAAATGGTTATTCAGCACAGAAAGCTCAGGTATCAACACCTCCAGGTGAACCTCAGGTTCAGCACTCCAAGGATAAAGCCTGTGTTTTCACTGATGTGCACGAATTGCCAGGCAATACCTCACAAACAAGAACAGAGAGGCCTGATGTCTCAGCCTGAGGTTAGTTAATCTAACAGCCCAAATACACCAAATTGGTCCCTGCTGGGCATTTTCTCATGGTTTAAAGATCAGTGTTGCATTCCATTGTGCTGCTTAGGAAACATCTCCATAAACCCAAGTCTGTGTGGTCTCAGAAGGTCTCTCTTCCTTCACGTTCAGTCTAAATCATTCTTTTCTTTGTTTCACTCAATTTCCCTTCTTTGGGCCTTGTCCACAGCACACAATCATACCTGATAGGGGACATTTAAAAGCTTGTAACTTGCCCAGCCTTACACAAGCATCCAAGTCATGAGTGCATTTCTCTGTTCCTATTCGCACAAGAGCGCCTGCTGTTCCTTTCTGTTGTCGTTAGCTTTGCTCATACCTAAACTAGCATAATTCCACAGGATCCTTAAGAAAGTAAATGATTAACTCATAGATCTTTGATCTTAAAGTGAACACGGCACTCATCCAAAAGTGAAAGCCAGGTGCACCTTCGCTGCTTCGGTGCAAGAGAGGGGTTGAGGTGGTGCAAACTCCTGGAACAGAAGGCTCAGAAAAGCAGATGTGCCAGACAGCCAGCAACATACCCCTGGCCCTCACCCAGAAAGGGCCTGCCCGAGGAGAGACGAGCACACGTGTTACAGGGGTTAGCACTACAGGGAGAGGTGTGCAGTACAAGGGCTGCAGTGGCAAGACTCACTTGAGAAGTGTCATGGTTGAAGATGATGGAGCTGAGGTCCCCACAGTTGTAATGCTTGATAAGGTCTTCTGTTGTATAGGGGATCTGGAAACTGCCTGCTCGGAGGCTCTCCTGCTGCAAGAGAGTCTGATTCAAAGCAAACACAACCTGAGGGAGGGGGAGAAGGGAGGAAAAGACAGAGTTCCTGGTAAGTTCTCTTTTCATCCCATGAGAAGGTCACAGACACACAGCCACTGGCTGAAGGCTCTCTGAAGCTGCTCCCTGCTCTGAGCCTGCCAGTCTAGACATCACCAACCCTTGCCTCCTACAGCTTCACAGGTACCCTCACCTTGGCTCCTGGCTGCTCAGAGGGAATGGACTCACCACATTTAACTCAATGAGGTTTTCCCTGTGACTTGATTAATACAAATGCTACCAAGGCAGGCTGAAGCAGGGGCAATCTTACTCCCTTAGGTGACAGTTTGCCTGACCACAACAGAGTCCCAGGGCCTGACAGGCTCCTATCTTCATATCTCCTCAGCAACCTACCTAAATTAAGCATGGCTTCTCCTTGTTTGCCCTTCCTTCCTCATCTGCAAGAACAGTCAGAGGTTTTTTTTCCTGTTTTGTGTCTCCTCTCAGACACCACATCTATTTCAGGCAGGAATGGCTCTCTAGAGCAGGCCAGGGAAGACTGGTGGCTGTTGGGGGACACGGGGAGCTGCTCTCCCTGCAGCTGCTCAGCTTCAGTCTCTCCCTCCACTCCCTCCTCTCCAGTTGACTGCCTCCACAGGCAGGGTGCTGACAGCATTCCTTCCTCCTCAGCTGACCCCTGGGAATGCAAACATTCCCACCCCCTTTGCCTCAATGAAAACTATGTGGCTGCTACAGCTCCTACCCCCATAAAGAGAGAAGATTAGAGAAGATCACCCTCCAGATGTGGCTGCCTCTCCACCTCCTGCACAGCAGGGCTCTCCCAAGGTGGTGGCCTCAGGGCCTGACCCAGACACTGGCTGCTGATCCAACTGCCCCCTCCCTTGGGCACTGCACAGTCCATGAGGGTGGTAGCCACTTAAAAGGAGCAAGAGAGCACTTTGGACCAACAGGTATCTCCGAAGCCCAACAGATGCAGAATCTCTGTACATCCAGCCACTGCAGGTAGCGGCCACCAAGCTTCTTGGCCACCAGTGGCAGGAAGCCAAGGAAAGATTTAAGGTGGAATCTCCCCAGGGTGAACATGGAATGCCTGTAGCATCTTTGGTGAGGCATGGAGCTGCATATTCCCCTGTGCAGGGACCAGTCCTCTGTCAGCACCTGGCAAGTAAAACACTACCATCTCTTCCGAGCACATCTCTTCATGCTTACACTCATGCTACCACTGGTTTTCACACCAAAACTGGACAACCGTACCAAGCTTTCTGACTACCTACTGGTTTATTATTTTTAAAGGAAGTAAGCTCAGATGTACTGCCTTGAATTTTTTCAAAAAATTTTTACTCATGAGAGTGTTATTTTGTAAGCTCTGGTTACTCTCCATGTAATTAACTCCTCCTGGACATTTGCCTCAAACACCATCAAAGGCATTCTAGAACTGAAAGTATTTGCCAACATTATGAAACTCACACATGAGTAAGCATACTCAATGTACTGAGACTGTGTGAACCAAATTTTGGGATCACAGAGCAGATGTGGAAACAAACAGGTGCAACTTCCCTCCCCTACCACAACCATCTGTCTTCTACAGAAAGGTGCAAATTCCTTCGGACTTGAAATCATGCTGTCCCCACTACAGCTAGACTTACCTCTTTGGATCCAAATCACTGTGTATGTAACCCAATATGAAAGCATATAATGCAGCATTAATTCTGGGAGGGTAAATAGCAGCATTCACTCACATCTCATGTTTGTAAAAAGGGAAAGAATTCACTTTGTTGGTACGAATTGCACTCAACTAAAATAATAACTCCATGTGCACACTTGGGCAAGTTACATCTAACTGAGCAGCAGCTATTTTGCAAAGGACCTCTGTTACATTTTAAAGTAAATTGAACAAAACCAATTTGAAAGCACTTTACATTTGAACAAAGGTTTGCATGCAGGCTGGGGTTTATTGTACTCCAAAGTCACAATTTTCCATTTGTTTGGCTTCAGAGAACTCTTAGTGGATGCTAATGACCAGACAACATTCACTGAGAGACAAGCCAAACCCATCCTGAAAATATGGAACTCCTACAGCCATGTCTGCTAGGTCATGCCAGGAAAATGTCATATGTACAATCAGTCCAGCCAAAAGCACTTCCATGAGAATGGCCTATTTTTAAGCTGTTGGATACCACCTGCTTGATTATTTACCATTAAAGCAGTATGTCCCTTTCCAGACTTCGAAACAAGGACCAGACAGTCCCTGTCCAGACAGAAGCCAGGAAATGTAACAGCCTCCTGAGCTGGTCAGGTAGCACTGCCTCAATGTAGACTAAGCACATCAAAGAGGCTTTGCGATCTTTACTGTTTGATTTTCATCCAAACACAAATCAGTAGAAGGTAACTGAGCCAGTAACTGGCTTCAGTAACTGGCTTCTGGGGAGAAAACACCAGCCTGCCAGGTGGGACACGAGAAAAAAGACAATCTTCCTCTCTCTGCTGTACCCCTGCAGCCTGTACTCCTGCTGTCACTTGCTCTGCTGCCCTCACGTCCATACAGATCTCTTCTCTCCTCCCTTGCAATGTGCTTCAGGTGAAATAGATCCAGTCTTGCCTCCAGACAGACTGGGCCTGCATTGCAGCAGCCAGGCCAAGCCATGCAGTCACCTTCCTTCCTGTGAGCACACAGTAAGCTGCAAAGAGCTACATAAATCTGTCCCAAAAGCACAGCATAAATTTCAATGATGACCTACAGTTATGGAGGATCACTGCACACATTACACAGGAATAGAGGCAACTCACCCCGTCTTCCTCCATATCTCTAATCTTACTGCTGACATGACGAAAAACTGCCCCAGTGAGTCAGCTTTGGCAGCTCTATGGCCTTTGCTAAGAGCACATCTTTCTGGATGGAGGTGTGAGAGTCGATACTGGACATATGAAAAAATTTCAGGATGGCAGCAGCTGAAGGGCTTGCCTGCCCAAATGGGAAAGCATGAAAGACCTTTTACAATGGGGTTGTGCATGTTTCATCTCAAAGAACAAAGAGCCCCAGCTCACTGCTCAAGACTCCTACATCCCATCCTAACCACAACTGCCCGCTGACAGAGCATCCAGCAGCCTGCCTTGGACCCCATGGCCGCACTGGTGGTTTGTGTAGCAATGCATCGGTTGCTTTTCTTCGTCATGGAGGACTACAGCTGTTCCCTGACAGCTCAGACTTCCCCACAAGCAACATTTTCCCCCACTTAGACCTAGACCTGCATCCTGTCACTGTACATAGTACATGAGGAGGGGGGTCACACAAGAGCCACCTGAAGTCCCCCACATAGAGAGTGGACCTCCACCATGGTGCTGTGAGGGACAGGGGTGGCCTCCCTCCTTTGAGGACAGCAGCAGCAGCTTAAGTCCTTCTGCACCAGAAGCAAGAAAATCAAGATACAACAAAGAGGCAGAAATCAAGAGAGCATCAATGTCCTTGACAATCAGCCCTCCCTAATGAGTTACAGTAATTCATGCATCACACTTTGCACAGCTGGAGTACAGGAAATTCTGTTGTCAAAAACACTCTCCACATCAGCTGGTATGAACGGAACGGTGCCATCTCTGGGGGGAGGGATGATGGCACACCTACTGAACAGCTACACAGGATTACAATTTGCCATCAGTATAAGTGTACAGCCTCTCAAAGCAATGTGGTAATTCCTCTCAATTCCTCTATCACTCCTACCTTCTTGGAGGAATTGAAAATCCTCAGCAGAAAGAGAAGGGGACATGGGGGTAAAGGGGCAGGATCTGTTTGTGCTAGCAGAGGTTGCTTAAAGCTCTGCTCTGGTGAGAAGATTATCTTCAGTAAATAGTAATGGATAAACACTGTCAGGGTCTCAAAAAAAAAGGTAAGATTCCTGAACCTACTGTTCTTGAAGGATTTAATTTACTGAGATGGGTCTTGCTCAGAAGTTGATAACTCACTATCTGTCATTACTTCTCAAAGAAAACATCAGACTAGGTGCAAAGTGATGCTTAAAGAAGACTACAGCCATCAAACTCTGCAAACTGGCTCTCAGTCTTGTTTACCAGATGTGAAAAACTGAAGAAAGTCAACAGAGCAGAAGCAGGTACCACATCAGCAGCTGGTCTGAAATTGTTATATTTGATAGGCACAAATATTGCTTGCATTCTGAAATCCCCATTCGATCTTGCAGTTCTTTCATTGCTAGTAATTCCAAGCAGTTAAGAAAACAGCAAATATGGAAAGGTTAAAAAGAAATTTTTGATTTTTCTTAGAAATGAAACCTAAGAATTTGGGCAGATGTGAGCTCCTCCAGCAGGTGGTACAAAAAGTATTTCTCTGCCTTGCAGATATCTCTTGCATTACACTATTTTACTATTTCCAAGCTCTTTCCTGTGTCAGAATCCACAGAAATCACTCTACATTCATCCTCCTTGCAAGACTATTCTTCCTCATTTCACACACCCCCTCCAGCAATTCGATCCTACTCTGCTCCATTAAGTGTATTCATACTAGCATCAAAGCATCTTCTGAAAAGATGCATTTGGAGAACAAAAGTAACAAGTTTATTAGAAAGGGATTTTTTATCTCCCACCTCCCATTTTCACTGTGATCTCTGTTTTTCCCCAACCCTCTCCTTTTTTTTAAACTGTGGAAAAAATCGATTAAGCTCTCCAGTATTCATATTGCTGCAAGCCTCATTCTCCTCCTGGAGATTTCTTCAGCTGTCAGGAGACACTTGTCCCCTTTGCTAGCATTGTTGGAGTGGCCTGCTAGGCTACCGGGGTGGGGAAAAGGGAGTTAGAGCCTGGCAGATGCCTTTTTTGTCAAAGACAAAAGACCCCCTGCCATCCTCTCCACTTTTCAGTACTTTCATCCACATTGGATCAAAGTGCTATTCTGCATATGAAAGGAACCTGGCATTATTTGCCTCAAATTAGCCTATCGCCATCCCGCTAGCCTCCAAGTCTTCCCAACAAAAGCACTCACATCTGTTCCATCATTTGCCTCATCT